TTTTTAGAAGAACAGATCCTGAAGATGAAACTCAAGTACTTTGGCCACCTAATGAGAAGGAAGGACTCACTGGAGAAGAGCCTCATGCTGGGAACGACCAAGGGCAAAAGGGAGGACAGAGAATGAGGTGATTGGATGGGGTCACTGAAGCAGTCAGTGTGAGATTAAATGGACTCAAAGGGATTGTAGAGGACAGGAAGGCCTAGAGGAAAGTTGTCCATGGGGTCGCCATGGGTCGGACACAACTTTGCAACTAACAACAAGAAGCACGTTAACCAAACCATATCAAAAGATCTTCTTTTTGCATGATTAACCTGGTGTTTTCTCAAAAGGAAGGCTTTTGAACTAAATCCAAACAAGAAAGGAGAGGGAGCAGCAATCTTGGTGACTTCACTGGCAAGAGGTGGGAGAACACTGCAACAAAATCAGTCTTTTGAAGACTAATACAGGTAGTCCTCGACTTATCATCACAATTGGGACCAGAATCCCTGTTGCTAAGCAAGGTGGTTGTTAATTGCGTCACACCCTATTTTTTGGCTATAGTTATGCGAATCACCACAGCTAAGTAAATCATACAGTCATTAAGTTAATCCGACTTTCCCCCCATTGAGTTTGCATGCTGGGGAGATTGCAAATGGCAAGCCAATGATTGTGGGATGCTGCAACCATCCGAAATACATGCCAGATGCATGCATGCAATTTTGATCATATGACTGTTGGGATACTGCAAGAGTTATAAGTGTGAGAGCTGGTCATGTCACTTTTTTCAATGCCACTGTAAATTTCAATCCTAAACAATCCTAAACAAAATGTTGTAAGTCAAGGACTACCTATAAATACACCCATAACAAATCAGGCTACTTAGACAAGGCAAAATGCTCACCTCCCACCTTTCTTCTGCATACTTGTCCAAAGATGGGACATCTCGGGCATGCTTATCTGGGCCCAGTTGGCTGGTATCATCAGACCAGGCCTTACCTCTGTGGACACAGAATTGAACAGTAAGAAACTCCATTACTATTTATGGGCTGTAACTTGGGCGCTACTAATGTCCTATTCAAGAGTAAGGATTATTAAACCAGGTAATAGATCTTCTGTAGGTATTAAATGCAAAAGCAATTCCTACAAAGGAATTATTGAGCCTGTCATTTCTATCTCTATACCTTTGGGACAACCATGACATGGATGATTGAGAATCTCCATAGACATTTGACCTATTAATAGTGAGACTACTTCAGTGATCTCCCCCCCCCCCCACTTATGGTTATAACCATGTTGCTTGTATCTTTAACATTGTTTTATTTGTTTCCTAGTAAAATTTGATTGCTTATTAGTAACCTGCTGTGGCCCAGCAGGAGCCTCTGGAGCTGCTGCTGGACTCCGATAGCGAGGACCCCTATGAGTCTGCCATGGAAGATGTGGAGGACCCTGNGATTATAATTGCTGTGAATAAAGAGTGGCAAACAGCTAAGCCTGTGTCTGTGTTCATTACCGGGTGGAGTGGGGCCAGAACAGATATATATTTCAACTTGCTGTCTCTTGCTTCCCTGGGATGCAGCACCCTCTCTCCTGGGTGCCTAGTACCTTCCACCTTCTACCACTAATCTCCAATATCTCCTATGGTCCAGCTTGTCAATTAATTGATGCCATCATGATTTGAATACATTATAGGCTGATAAATTTGCACGGGATTGAATACATTATTTTTAGGATTTTAGAATTGGCACAATGACATTATTTTATTTTAGTGTTTCGTTATTTACCATGGGTGGCTTAACACTTCATGATTAACGGCTATGTGTCCTACAGGATTTGGCATTATACAAGCCAAATAAATATATACAGGTAATCCTCGACTTACAACAGTTTGTTTAGTGACCATTTGAAGTTACAGCGTAACTGAAAAAAGCGAAACAATGATTTTTCACACTTATGACCATTGCAGCATTCTTATGGTCATGTGATCTAAATTCAGACACTTGGCAAGTGACTCATATTTACGACAACTGGAGTGTTGGGAAATGGGTGTGTGATGTGATCCCCTTTTGCAACCTTCTGACAAGCAAAGTCAGTGGGGAAGCCAGATTCACTTTACAACCATGTTACTAACTTAACAACTGTAGTGATTCACTTAACAATTGTCTCAGTTACAGAAATTTTGGACTCAATCATGGTTCTGTCGAACATTACCTGTAAATAAACAAGAAAAGGACTGCTTCCTGTTTTAAAAACTTTTTCACACTCCCTCCTTTCTTTTTCTCCTCCTTTTTGAAGGAACCTTCAAATCAAGACAAGACCCTTTCCTCAAAAAACATTGCGGAATATGACATCCCAACTATAGCTGGACAGAAAAAAGGTAGGGCAGGAATAGCCTGGTTCAAATGGGCTTCCAGGATTTCCCTTTTCTTTTTAATGCTGTCAAAAAGAAATTTAGCTTATATTTCTTTGTGGAAGAGGTGGCTAATATGAAATTCTGGCTTTCCATAATCTGGCTAGTAAAAGAAAAGGACTAGATGTGGCCTGCCAGCAGAGCTGACAGCAGAGTCGGACAGTGAGGAGGTTGGGAAGGAACATGGGCCAGTCCTGGAGGTTGGGGAAGGCTCTGATGAGGGCTCTGTGTTGGAGGCAGAGGTAGGGCCAAGGCCGTCTGGCAGTTCTCAGCTGCCTTCGGAGCTAGACAGCAGTGNTGTGTGTGTGTGTGTGTGCACGCACGCGCTCAATCCTCATATCTACTACTTTAATGCACTTTTCTTCTAAGAAAACTGTCCTTTTCTTAACAAATGGAGCCAAGGGTCATTTCTATTTAGAGCAGAGAGGTCAGACCCGATTTCATTGAGGGCCGCATCAGAGTTGTGTTTGATCTTGGGGGGTCGGATGGTGGTGTTGGCTGGTTGTGGCCAATAGCACTTAGGCTTACATACCGCTGCATAGTGTTTTTACAGCCCTCTCTAAGCGGTTTCTACAGAGTCAGCCTATGGCCCCCAACAATCTGGGCCCTCGTTTTACCCACCTCGGAAGGATGGAAGGCTGATTCAATCTTGAGCTGGTGAGATTTGAACTGCCAAACTGCAGCTAGCAGTCAGCTGAAGTAGCCTGCAATACTGCACTCCAACCACTGCACTAACTCGGCTCAACATCACTGTGACAGCATCCTGCAGCCCTCTGCCATAAAAAAATGGAGAAAGCGGCCTCCCCGTGTCTCCCTTTTCACCGGCAGAGGGCTGAAGGAGGCTGTCGCAGCTAAAAACAGAGGCCTTGCGCGGCCTCCTGGAGCTCTGTTTTTGCTGGCAGATGCACCGCAGGCTGCTCCTCAGGAGGCCCTATGGGCCAGATCTAAGCACCCTGTGGGCCAGATCAGGCCTCCAGGCCTTGAATTTGACACCACTTTATAGGTTTCAATGGTGGCAGGTATGACAGTCTATTCTGCAAAACACTGGGTCCAGCAATCTGGAACTAGGAGCAAGTGATCTTTCTTCTCTCTATATAAAAATGTCTGTCCGTCTCTGTCTATCTCTGTCTCTCTCTCTCTGTGTGTGTGTGTGTGTATGTGTGTTTCCCAGCATAACTCTGGAACGTCTCAAGCAATTTCAACCAAACTTGAACAAATGACTTACTCCCTGGAAACAAATATTATGGGGATAAGAAACCCCTAAAACCCCTTGGGGTGTGTGTTCTGTTAAGATACAGCTGGTTGTGCCTTAAAATGGCTTCTACTGTACAGCGCAGTGGAGTTGCCATGGTAATGGCTTCACAGTACTCCACAAGGGAAAATCCAACATTAGAAANGCTTAGAGAGGGCTGAAAGCCCTATGAAGCGGTATATAAGTTGAACTGCTATTGCTATTGCCTCCCCGCCCTCCCCCGAGGTCAAACACAACTCTGATGTGGCCCTCAATGAAATTGAGTTTGACATCCCTGATCTAATGAATTTTGTGGCATTAAATTGTCTATGGGGCCTGATTTTATATTTACCAATATTTTAGCATATTTCTATGCTCAGTTAGCATACTTTTGCATAGAGTTATGCTTCTCTTTTGTCATGCTGTTAAAGATCTGAGATTCTATCCAGATGTTCTCCAGATGTTCTTGACTTGGTCATCAGTGCTACCGGTAATATATCCTTATTAACATCTGAAAGCTGAGAATTTTAAAATGGTGGTTTCGGTGTCCTGTGCTCAGTTTTGCTGCACTCATATAGCAAAATTTCGGACATACAGATTGCACAAGTGCCTGTTTTAATCATGGGATCTTAGCGTGGCTTTCTTTCCCGCAGATACCTCAGCCCCTTTGCCCGCCTCCTATAGTCCTCGCTATGTTGAAGCTGCTTGGTATCCTTGGTGGGTGAAAGAAGGTTTTTTTAAACCAGAATGCCAGGTAAAAAAAAATGTTTCTGTAAAATTATTAATATTAGATTTTGTCTACGTGTTCCAACTTTTGACAGGTGAAAAAGTTGGTAAAACTTTTTTCTTCCTTTTCTCATAATAGTAACTATTTGAGTCCTCCAAGCCAATTGACTGAGGATAGAGGAAGTGTTTAATGTGATTTCGCATGCATCTGTGGTATTCCTTGGATATGATGAGTCAAACAGACCCCCCTTTGCGATCAGGCGATTTTTACACTTGGGGCATTCAACAATTGGACTGCATTTATGTCGACTTGCAGCATCCCACAGTCATGAGACTGCAATTTACAACATTTTTGTGCCAGGAAACCAACTTTTACTTCCAATTTCTGGCAAAAAAAATGCCCATTGTGCACTGTGGTGGGCTTGCTTAATGACTGCTGCAAAAAGTGTCATAAAATTGGGTGGATCATATAATAACCTACTACTAGTGTGATTTATGACCGTAATTCCTGTGTCAATGACAGTCGTAAGTCGAGGACTACCCGTACAAATTTGAATTAAATGGGTTAAGAACGGAATTTGTTCTTCACTCAGGAATGGTTCGTGTTTCTCTGTGGGAAATGCAAGTCAAACTGTTTTCATGCTCAGTTTGTAAACAAACTGGAGAAGAAGAGTCCTTCCCTCACATTTTTAAGAATGTCAGGGTTTTTAGTACCAGCATGGAGCCTCAATAGGATGGTATGGAGGCGAACTCGGACCGATGCTAAATCCAGTTCCTCTTTTTGACAGCAACACCTGCCCCACAGAAAGCCAGAAACGTTTTCTATCTCTCTTCCACCACCTAATGTCACAGGATCCCTTCACTTGGGGCATGCCTTGACTGTGGCTATTGAAGATACTTTGGTACGATGGTAAGTGTGTTTCTGAAGACTTGGAAAATGGCTGTGCAGATATTCTAGCATTAATAGCAATGACCCCCACATTTGATTATGCCATGCCACCGAGAAATAGTTCCATATCTATAAAAAGACCGACGAAGACCAAAATATGGCATCACTCCTGAGAAATTAGAGTTGATGTGGTTCATTTGCGTCTATTGGCAATGATTTGGCCTCAGTTTCAAGTGAGGGACAACCCATTCCTTAATTTAGTGTTTCTCAACCTTGCCAAGTTTAAGATGGATGGACTTAAACTCCCAGAATTCCCCAGCCAGAATTGAAGTTCACCCATCTTAAATCTAAGTTTGAGAAATATTGCCTTAGCTGACCACAGTCCTTTCCCCTTCCTGTTCCTCTGCATTTTGGGCATTTCTGTTTGAATCTAAAAGCCATCTAAGGATATGGAACTTTTAAAGAAGAGAGTTGAATTCTAGNCAAAACCACATTTTTTTTTAGGAAAGTCTATGAATTAAATCACACAGGCAGAAATCTGTGGCATAATATTTAGAATCACCTGGTAGTCCTCAGCTTACAACCATTGTTTAGTGACCAAAGTTACAATGGTATGGGAAAAAGTGACTTGTGACCAGTCCTCACAGTGATGACCATTGCAGCGTCTCCATGGTCCCTTGATCAAAATTCGGGTGCTTTGCAACCAGTATGTATTTACAATGGTATCCTGGGGTCATGCAGTCGTCATTTGCAAACCATTGTCAGCCAGCTTCTGATGAGCAAAGTCAATGAAGGAAACCAGATTTGCTTAACGACCGCATGATTCATTTAACAACTGCAGTGATTCACTTAACAGCTGGAGCAAAACAGCCATAAAATTGGACAGAACTCACTTAACTATCACCTTTCATAGCAATGGAAATTCTGATTCCAATTTTGGTCGTAAATTTGCCTATACAGCAAATCTGACTCAGTGGTAATCAGGAGGAATCCATTTGCAATATCTTCACAGGTAGGCTTTTTTTAGCTACCCCGTTTCCCTGTAAATAAGACCTTCCCTCGATAATAAGCCCAATCGGGATTTTGAGCGCATGCGCTAAAATAAGCCCTCCCCCTAAAATAAGCCCTCCCTAAAAATATTGCAACACAGCAGCAGCCATGAGGTGATCACGCTTGCTGCCTCCTGCACCTCAAAAATAAATAATACCTCCCCAAAAATAAGGCCATGTACTTATTTGGGGAGGGGGGTTAAAAGAAAATAAGACCCTGTCTTATTTTCAGGGAAACACAGTAATTCCCCCATAAGGAAAATGCCCCAATAAACAGCAAATGTGTTGCTTTGTGGTCTTGCTTTTGGTAGATGAAATCTTCCATAGACAAGGAGAGATTTTTAATTTTAAAACAGGCAGTCTAGAAAACACAAGCTGTAATTTGTAGGCAAAAGATCCCTGCCAACTTCTGGTTTTCTTCCCCTTAGAAGAGAACTAGAACTTAAAATCTGTTCGCAGATTTTCCTATTGTAAATGCTGAGACTTTACATGCCATCAATTCATCCATGACTTACCAGTTCAATAGCTTGGAAACTGTTTAGTTCAATGTTTTTCTAACTCATCAATATGTGTGGACATCAACAGTTTTGGGGGAATTCTGGGAATATAAACCTTCACATCTTAAAGTTGTTGAGTTTGAAAAAACACTGATATAATGCAGTTTAAAAATTTAATGCCAGGATAGCCCCATGCTTTGAAAAGCTATTAAGACTTGACTCTTGGCATCTTTTCAAGACTTGACAGGTTAATTTTTATTATTTATTATAACAAAAAAAATATTTCATCTTTAAAAAAGAATTTTTTTAAAAAAAACTAAAATACAAACTAAAGGGAAAGAAAAGGGAAAAAAACCTCTCTAATATACTTATCAATAGCCACTGGATTACTAATAAATTTGCTATTATAATCTGAATAATATATTATTGTAAGATCACAGAATCTCTGCCATAGAAACACATATTGTTGCATCCTTCAATTAGTACAAAACATTGCCTTTTCCAAAACAGACAGATCACAACTTTTTCTTCACCTTTTAAATAATACCACTTTTCTCATTTCTTAATACAATTCTTTTTGCACCACGCTCCACTCTAAGCATGTAGTCCTCAACTGACAAGTTCATTTAGTGACCGTTAGAAGTGACAACGGCACTGGAAAAAAAAGGCTTACAACCGTTGTAGCGTCCCCATGGTCACATGATCAAAATTCAACTGATTCATATTTATGACAGTCACAGTGTCCCGGGCTCATGTCAACCTTTTTTGCAATCTTCTGACAAGCAAGGTCAATGGAGACATAGATTCAATTAACAACTGTGTCACTCACTTCACTGCAGCGATTTACTTAACAACTGCGGCAAGAAGGGTCGTAAAATGGGGCAATATTCACTTCATAACTGTCTCACTAAGCAATAACTATGGGCTTAACTGAAGTGGTAAGCTGAGGACGACTTGTACAGCCACAATGAGGAAATGAATGGGTTCGTTAATTTGTTCCTAATTAAGTGTTGACAGACACATGTTTAGATGAAGACTAGACAAAGAACCAGAGGTTATACAATAGGCAAAAAAGAAGGGAGACTTCCGGCGGGGAGGAAAAATCTGTATATGAATTGTTGCTAATTGTGCCTACTTGGTGCATTTTGGAATCATATATTTTTATTCTTTTCAATCGGATTGCTGCGTCGGGTATATATATATACATACATACACCGGTCAGAACTTCTTAGGACTGGAGCGGTTTATCAAACATAAATACGTTTATGATCTTCCTATACTTTCCCACGCTGGCACAGCAAAACGCGGCGCTCCCTTCGCTAGGGTCTCCTTCTCCAAAGACCCCGGGATGATGCCCAGGGCTGGGAGAAGCGCCTCCGGGGCTTTATTCTCAGACGGGGCGGCGTTGCCAACCCGCCCCACCCCCGGATCGCAAGGCTCCTCCGGTTTCACCAAAATCGGCTGCTGCGGGGGCGCTTGCATGTTCGGGACCCAAAGGACTCACCTTCACCAGGAGCGCATCGGGGACGGGGACAAGGATCCGCGGCAGCGCCCCCACACCAGCCGGCCCTCCCGGCGAGCAGGAAGCGATCGGCGCACTCCACCTCTCGGCGTCGGCTCCTTTTCCTGTGTGAGTTGCATGTCGGGAGCGCGGAAAAAAAAAAAAGGCCCGGGTTGCAAGGGGTAAGCTCGGTTTTGAATGTGTCCCCGGATCGTGGTTTTGGGGCGGTCTAGATTAGTGTGGGAGGGGGATGACGTGGGTGGGGGGGAGAAGAAGGAAGGCGTGTATTGCATTCACAGTTGCAGAGAGGAACGGGGCGTTCAAAACTAGTGTAAAACTGGAGTCTGGGAAGCACAAGAATGTAGTGTCGGGGGCGAGGTGGGGATGTGTGAGCCTCTTAATAACTGGGTTTTCTAGATGTTGTGCTCCGACGCTACCATCCCTGGCTCTGCTGGCTAAGGCGTATGGGATTTGGAGTCCTGCCCATCTTTCTATTCCTAATCCAATCTCTCCTCCTAATCCTGTCTATGGGATTTTAATTCCTTTGTCGTATCATTTTTATTCCTTTTCTGCTCTCTGCGTTGCTTATTCAAAAGGGAATAGCAGTGCCTATTTGCGTGTGGGTATTGTGTGGGTATATTTATAAATATGTATATCTAATATTTAATTAATATTAATATTTAAATATTAATATTTAATATTTACTAAGGTCATATGTAATGATCTAAGTGCCAGAGCCCACTGTAATAACATTGCCAAAAAGGCAATGGTTAGCAGTACAATATGATAAATTAATCATTGTTAATTTAAACCTTGTGTAGCTGCTTCTCTGGTCATATTGTACTGCTAACCAGAGCATACAAAACATTTGCTACACCAATTCTCGAATACAGTTCATCTGTCTGGAACCTGCACTGCATATCGGACATTAATACGATTGAGTGAGTCCAGAAGTACTTCACGAGAAGAATCCTCTGCTTGCAACTGAATACCTGATGCCACCAGACTTGAAATTTTGGGCTTAGATAACTTAGAACTACGCCAACTTTGGTCTGACTTAAGCATAGTGCATAAAATTATCCGCTAAAATGTCCTACCTGTCAATGACTACTTCATCTTCAACCACCACAATACGAGCACACAATAGATACAAACTTAAGGTAAACTGCTCCAAACTTGACTGCAGAAAATACGACTTCAGCAACAGAGTTGTCAATGCCTGGAATGTGTTACCTGACTCTGTGATTTCTTCCCCAAATCCCCAAAACTTTAACCTTAAACTGTCTACTGTCACCCTATTCCTAAGAGGTCTGTAAGGGGCATGAATACCCTCCCTGTCCTAATGTTTCTTTTAACAATAGCAGTTAGACTTATATACCGCTTCACAGGGCTTTCAGCTCGCTCTAAGCGGTTTACAGAGTCAACATATTTGCCCCCAACAATCTGGGTCCTCATTTCACCCACCTC